TGCAATATGAGCCTGCAGGGAGGTATTGGGAAACTGAACCCCGCTTCTTCTTATTGCAGATTCCACTGTGTAAAGTAATTAGATTCAACATAGACTACACGATCCATTTCATTGAAGAGATGATGCCTGAGGTAAGGGAAAAGATTGTTTAACAGCTTGTTGTGGTTTGCTCATTCGTTTATTCCACACTTACATTTTAAAGCATTGGACTTGGCTTTTGCCATAGGAATACCCCTAAGTATCATGTTCACTTTTGAAAGGGTCAGTGAAATGTAGTTCTAGTGTCAAAGTTAAAATTTGCATAATTTTTCAATTCATTGACCTATTTTTGAACCTTTTCTCCTTAGGTTACATCTGCTGATATTAACTTTACATCTGCTTCCAGTTTGTTTTACGCTGGGGACAGATTTTGGTTACTGGCCATTATCAGAGAGGAAATTGGAATAGTGAAACTGAATCTGATAGCTGTTGGAATAATCTTATTTATCTCCAATGACAAGATCAGTGCTTGCTTCATTTTTCTTCCCATATATTTACATATTTTTCCTAATTATTTTTCATCGCGGATGCTCAGCAGCAGATTTATCTAAATATAGGCAAGAGATTTAAAATTCCAAAGGAAGATTAATGTGAATCTCACAATGATTCATAGCTTGGTCTTGAATTTAGTGATGTTAACAAATCACAGTAAGAAATAACAACTAGACAGCAAACAAGCTTGTGCACTTAACATTGTTTTGGAGTCAGGGTTGATTTCTGGAGCTTTTGGCACTTCTTGCAAACCTTGTTTCATGGGACAGCTCTGTCATGGGCAGGGAAGCGTGGAGGGGAGTTGATGGGCATGACATGCATGTTTAGTTGGTACCTATTTCATTCTGAGCAAGTCTTGTTCATTTTACCTGCCTTTCAAAAAGAACTAAAGAAAAAGAACCGCCCCTTTATTCTCCCGCTTAGAAGGGTTTTTTTTGCTTCCTTTTGGATTTTAAGGTCATAAGCCTTCATTTGCTATTGTAAAAGTTTATGACTACTGGCGTGATATCATGCAGGGTGATATATGAACCCTGAGCAGAACAAGTAGGAGGAAGAATTATGAGACAGATTTCACTTGCAGATATATCATCTGTTTAGTTTGTTTATAGGAGAAATTTTGGTACAAAGTTTATAGTTCTTCTTAGCCCTTTATTTGCCTTCATCAAGAATTTGAACTTTTAGGGTACAAAAGACCCCTGTTTTTTGGTAACTCTGTAACAGTGACTCTGGATGTGTGGGATGGGGGTGGGGGAAAGCTTATTAAAGCCTATAGGTGTGTATATGTAACTCGAATTAACAAAAAGTCCCCAGGAGATTCTGATACATTTTATAATTGGGTTAGAAAAATATGACATAAGTGAGACCTTTTTAAATTTCATGTGATTTTATTTGTACACTGAGAAGGGCTAACTTGACATTTTTGTAGGAATCCTTATGGCATTTTTGTCTGCAATTTTGTCCTATAACAAAAGGATAGGATAGTTGCCAAACTTTTAAGGAAATTATATAGTTTTAGTACAGTTTCAACAAACACTTTTTAAGGTACTTGGACTCGAAAAAGTTGAACATTCAGTTCATACATATTTATAGATCTATAGTAATTTGATTTTGGTTTATTTTTCAGAATTTTTGTGTGAAAGGCCTTGAACTCTTTTCACTGTTCCTATTCAGAGATATTTTGGAATTATATGATTGGAATCTTAAAGGTAAATAATAGGTTTTAAAGAAAAGAGTAGTGCTTGTAGAAGAACTTTATGGTATATGTGAAAAGTGGTGGGAATGTAGTTGAAATTCCTCTTGTTTTTTGAATACCCAGGGAAAAGTGTTATAGGAATGCTTGCTATCATTTGACATGAATAAGTTCTTATGGATTTTACTTTTACAATTTGACAATGCCTATTAAGATAATACCAATTATTATGAGTGACTACCTTGATTTATGTGTGTTAGGGAAAATACCATTAGTTGATATTTTAAATCTAGTGAACTTTACCATAATACATTTTCTAAAATGACAGTTTGTTATAACAGAAAACTTCAGTTAGTCAGTAGTCAAAACACACACACTAATGCATGTGCACAGTGAGCTAGATAGATTCAAAGACTTGATGCCTGGTACTCAGATAATAGTGTACTCTTTTGGAATTGTCTGTATTTCAGGAAACATTTATTTTTAAAGCAGTGTGTCAATGAATGTCTTTTCAAACCAATAGTATTTCTCAAATTTTTTTTACTGTATTGATTAAAATGGGATGGAATTAACACACAGGCGCATTATATCATTTAATAGTTGAATTATAACAAAAAGCTTCATGTTTTTTAAAAATAATTTTACCATATATATTTGCTCCTTGGGGCTTTCATTCTCCACTTGACTTCCTGTAGTCTCATTGCAGTCTTAATTGGGTGCTTGTAGCAGTTGCCAATGATTGATTTAGCCACTGAGAAGAAGAGTGGGGGGAGATGGTGGTATTTTTTATGTCTCTACTTCTGGTGGTAGTTTTTGTGGTTATCATAAATCTTAGAAATTAAGTTGCAATGTTTGCTTTTAAGGCTGTTTGATTTCTTTTTTCTTTCCTTTTCACTTGTTTGCTTTAGGTCCTTTGTTTGAAGACAGTCCTCCCTGCTGCCCAAGATTTCATTTCATGCCACGTTTTGTAAGATTTCTTCCAGGTAAATCTTTTGGCTTGTCAGTGACCTGGTGAGATAATGTGTCTGAAAATAAGCCTGCCATTCTCCTTTCAATCTTTAGGGACAACTTTCCCACCTCAGTCACTGTTAATCCTCTACTTCTCAGGTTGGGCATGGAAATGTAAACTTATACATACTGATTTATGTCCCTGCCTGATTTATGGTAGCTCCAAATAGGATGAGCAATGGAAGAATTGTTATAAGTTTTGAAAATCTGTGTGATAAAATACCATGCAAGTGTTAAAATTAACATGGAATAATGCATGTGGCGTAAAAAATGCATATGGCTAATTGGAAAACAATTAGTGTAAAATTTTATATACAGTATGATTAGAACTATCCAAAAAAATTACTGTAATAATAGTTGTATTAAGGTAGTAGGATTATTGTGATTTTTTTCCTATTTTAATTCATTTTACAGTGAAAAAAATGTAATAGTTTATTCTCCCACAACATTAAAATATATAAGTATATGATTTAATTTTTTTTAAAGCAATCTCTTAACTATTTTCTAATTTTTTTCAAGAATCCAGCTGTAAGATACAGCATTATATTTAGTGTTTTTAAAAAATGGTTGGATTTTTAATGAAATCTTTTGGATGTGTTTTTGTTGGCAAAATCTCTTCCTTTGAGGCTTCTGCAACCCTAGTCCCATTCCTTTTTTCTTTATGATTTCCTAGTCAGTTATGTGCTTTATCAAGCACTGGGAAACCTGGCTTCCTTGCTCAGCAAAGTTCTGTTGCCAGTGTAGTCAACTTCACTCGCCATTCTCTCCTGAGCTGTACAATTTAATTTTTTCTACTGTAATGATTGTCACAACTTAGCCACCTAATCTCAAGGTAAAACCTTGGGCCGTGCAATCACCCTAAAGTGATTTTATCCCTAGAATCTAACTCCAGTATCTCACTTCCTGTTGCCATCCTTCCATCCTTTCAGCCTCTCATGACCTTATTGCCTTTGCTTCTACTTGAATCTTCCTTCTTCTACTTTGTACAGCCACTTTGCTTTTTTGCATTCTCCACTGAGTCCTGTGCTCTGACTTATCTATCAGCTCTAGCTGCCTCAGCCTCTTGTATGACCACCACCTTACATGTAAATATCATCAATCCAACCACGTGCCTTTTCTATTCTTATATGTAGGCCACTCAGCATTACTGGAGAAGAAAACATAGTTGCTGCTATGTATCTGTGGCCTACATTCTTGGCTGGGGAGTTTCTCTTCATGTAACCTTTCTACCCAATTCCGTGTATCAGCAGTTTCAGAAATTTAGACTTAGGTTCATGCTCGTCTTCTTGGACTTCCTGTTTTCCTAGGGCAGGAGACCTTGCCTCCCTCATGCCTGAGAACCCTCCTTTGAGCCTATCAGGCTCTGGCTTCCTCAAGTGCTCTTGGTCTATTCACAGCCAAGTTTTGCTTCAGTGGCAGACCCCTCTAGCCCTCTCCCCACCCCACAGCCGCTGCTAATTGCGAAGGCAGCCTCCTAAGGACCAAATCCAGAGGACACGCTTCAGTGTTAGTCTCTTCCCTAATGTGATGCCTGAGCTTCTTGACTTTGTCTTTCTTCCGGGCTCTCCTTACTTTCTATCTCTGCGATTCTTCCTTTGTGGCTTTTCTTTCTTGTCTGCTCAGTCTGGCTTAAGTTTTCCTCAAGATTTTTTCCTTTTTGTTCTTTCCTCAATCTAGACAATCACAATGGTTTATTTTTATTTTAGGTTAGCATTATTCATATTTTTAGTATTGTTAATGTTTATTGTGTTTAGAAATGCATTCAAAAGCTTTTCTCCTTTTCATGGCTGGTTTTATTTTATTGAGATGCCCTTTTTTCTTTTCAAGTGAATGCGTCTTTGATTTTATAATGGAGCTTAAGCAGTAAACTTATTAGAAACTGGTGTTAGAGTAAGTTCACCGAAAAGACTTTTCTTTCTGTATCTATCTGCCTCTGGCATTTTATGACCAAACAAATCTCTAAGACCAAGTGGGCAGTTTTAAAATCATCTTAAAGAAAAATCTTGTGTAGGCTATTTACTTTGTGTGATTTCAACTCTCACAAAATGTTTCTCATAACTGTGTAGCGATAACATTTAGGTTGTCAGAAAGAAAAAGGCCGATTGATTTATTTTTAAATAGGATTTACTTTTTCATTAGACTTCCCTTTGAAAACATACATATGAAGAAAACCCCGAAGGGTACAGAAAAATACCTAATGTATAAAATGCATTTTGGTATTGGGTAGCAAATTATGGTGGGTTTGTTTTTCACAATATGACTTCGTTAAAGATCTTTTAGAAAATGGTAAGTTTAAAAGTCACTTTGATATATATTTCCATTTTTTTCTGTGCATAAGGGTTTTATTACATAGTTGTCATCTATTAGTATATGCTTTGCATCCTATTTTTTAATAATTCACTGAGCAAATGGATATTTTTAAATCATGATATATAGTGCCAAATTTCTTGTCAAAAGTACAACACCAGTTTATACTGCCATGAAAAATGCATTATTACTCATTTTTAGCATTTTTGGCCTGCCCCCCTTTCTTCTCTCCTTTTCTTCTTCCTTTCTAAAATTTTCAACAGTGAGCTCTATGAGGCTGAAGAGTAAACATTGTCTGTCTTCTTGTATCCCCAGTGCTAACATACTTCATGGCACATAGCAGGGACTCAATACATACTTGTTTACTGATTTTTTTTTTTTCCTCATTAATCAAACAGACCTGACTTGTTTACTGATTTTAATTAATTGGTCATAAAAGTACCTTATTTAAATATTCATGTGATTTGGTTACTAATGAATGTGCTTTTCACACATTCTTTGAAATTGTCTCTCATTTTTTTAAAATAAATTTTTTTTTTTGAGACAGCATCTTGCTGTGTTGCCCAGGCTAAAGTGCAATGGCATCATTGT